ACTAGCAGCAGAGTCCCTTTTGACGCCGAGTATCTTAAGTTTTTCATGACAAATATAATTTTCATATTTCATTGTGCAATTAAGATTACCCCCTCTACTGTTACTGATATTAGACCCAGTAATTTATACTAAACTATCTACGCATTCTACGCCCCTAGTGCTGAAAACGATAGCACCTACTAGAAAACAGTAAAAAACTTACCTGTAAAAATTCTGGTGTGAGCTGTTCTCCGGCCCTTAAGTCTAGAGGTTTAAGATTGAGTTCGAGGTTCAATGCGGCAGCCACCAGTAACACCAGGCGACAGGGCGCTGACCCGGCCGTGTAGTAGAGGTCGATCGACATTGTAGCTCTGTGGGATAGGAAATAGTCTTTTAAAAACAATATTTTCTTAGGTAAAGGGCACAGTTTTGCAGGTTTTATTGTGTTTTAGATTTGAAGCAAAGCTTATTTTGGTCAAATAGGGACGCGTCTAGATATTTTACTTTGGTTTACTGAAGAGGCGGATTTAGAAACGAATGAAACGACCCTTGACTTCTTTATAATGCAATAGGTAGAGCAAAAAAGCCGGCCGGCAAAAACTTAACATACCTTTGAAACTCGCGTGCACCGCTTCAGAACTCCACAGTAAGACTAAAACAGATAAGTGTTTATCTGTACAAAAGGCAGGCGGCCTTGAACGGTGTTGATGCCACGACGATATTATTGAACCAGATGCAGTAGGATCGTTCAAACAGGGCATTTATTTATGGCCAGCAAACTTCTGATGGCAATAATCACCAAAAGAAACCGTTTAAATTACGTTCTTGCAATTTCTGCCAGTCATTGTGTAGGTATACGGTGATATCATGTGTTGAGTCACATATAAAAAAGGGAAACTACTGTATTAGTTTTTGTCAAGTCACGATGATTTACATTTACATAGAACCAAAACTAAATTAATTATCAGCATGATGATACATAATATAGGATCTACTGAGGACATCAATTTCGATTGTTTGTATCTATTTGTCACACTAAACCTTGGTTACTAGTAAGAGTGAAAGGGACAAATAGTTTAAAAGGGAATTGTTTTATCAAGTTGACCCTGGTTCAATTAGTACCAAGTGGTGGGCTTCGATAAGGTTAATCAATATTATATTATCTAATCAAAGCAAAATAATATCTTTTGAAGATAAGTTAAAATTATGTCCGAATTAGAAATAGTGTTTAGATCCGAATTCACACAAAAAGGCGTTATTATAAATAAATAGATTTGATTACAGAAAATTGAAGGAACATTTTGACTTTTGGTCTACTCTGACCTGAACAGATCAGTCTAGCCACGCATTGTTTTTATGGGTCAAATAGCATATACAGCTGTTATGGAATTGAATTTATTTTAACCGCATGAGATTGACAAAATAAAGGCACATCCTCTTAAATAAACAAATCATTTAAGCGAAGGAATTCGATTCAAATTCATAAGCTGATTCATACAGAGTACAGACATTAACACTAGAAAGACCAAGGCAGTCAAATTGGCGGCAAAGCAATTTCATTGTTAAATATTTCACAAACTATGTTTTTGTTTCTTTTCATATTTTATGACTTTTCCTAATTTGCTATTGTTAAGCTAAATCTATATGAAAAAGAAAATAACAATATGTTGTATATGAGTTTCGATGACAAATACCTACTAAGACCGCGCACCGTCAATGTGACGGTATACATATAAAGGCGGCGATAAGAATAGTAAACAACGATTTCTTCAAACANAAGTGAACCATGTACTACAGACAATAAGAGGCGGCAATGTCAAATCAATAGTAATTGTAAAAAAAATGAAACATGTGAAAACTGCACTATCTGTAAAAAAATTGTTTGTGGAAATTGTACAAAAGAGTCTAAAAAAACTATTACTTGTTACAAATGTTACTAACTTTAATTGTTTATTACTATTAAAAAATAAATTTGTATTATTTTTATGTTATTTTTTTATTTAAAATCTGTAATAATTTCATAAGTATTCTCACTTAATCTCTAGTACCGTCAAATTGACCGCTGCGGTCTTTGAAGGTATAGCATGCAGCCCGGCCCTTCTAGTGTTAAATGGGGGCGTCGAATAATAAAAACGCAAAGAAATTTACATTATATTTTATTATCTTTGTCTTTAATAAAGTAATTACAGATAGGCACTAAAAAATAACCATGCATATGACCATAATACAATAATATATTACTTAGATACAACGAACACCGCATCTCTCATAGTCTCGTTAGAACATAACAAAGGGTGAAGCGGAGGCTCGGCCTAGGCCTGGCCTTAGGCCGCGGGCCGGCCAGGGCGGACGGTTGTTAGGCCTGGGCCACTAACACTTTATAACATATCGACTCAGAAACCAAACTGTGGGTCTAGACAAAGTGCAAATTATAATCGCAAACCAGTCGAAAAGTGGTCGAAAAGCCCCTTTTTTGTATGGAGTTTTGACGGATTCGATTTTCGATTCGATCAAAAAGTGCGTTTTGCCCAGGGGGGCTGATAACTTTGCTTCAGAACTACAGCTAAAATGTAGATGGCGTCCCCACATTTTAGTACGCACGCGTAACACTAGATGGCGCACGAGTCGATAGATTTCATTGACTGATACTTTTCTTCTGTATCCAATAAAGGCCAGTGAGCTTATTGAATGAATAACGTAACTCTTTCGCCACTTCTTTTCAGCACCAACGGATATGTCGTCCCGAAGTGGTGACAGGACAAGGTATATTAGAAGTTTAAAAGTACAAGTGCTCTGAAAAGGGCCAATATAATAATAAAGAATTTGAACCGTAGACTCGCAGTCTACAACAAAGTGTGTCCGCCCGAAGCCAGCCGGCGGCACGCATCGCCGCGGCAGAAACAAAGCTTAAATGTACATGTCTCGCATGTCCGAAGGCACATAATATCCGTAAATAAAACAACGTTTTAAAAAAGCTATCTCGTTACTTATCACGAACTACCGGCTAGTGTAATACAAAAACGATGAGTTTAATAATAATTATGAAGCTATGATTTGTGTTATTTAACAGTTTTATATACTTTCGTTCGCCGGCCGCTCTATTCGATCCGAACGCGAATCTGAAATGAAACGGTACCCGGCGAAGTTTTAAATTCTCTAAATAAATAGATATTTATAATGAATTATCTACTAAGTCGAACTCGAAATAAAATGTTTTTCCCCTAAATAAAAATAAATCAGGAATAAATTACACAGTGTTGTGTACGTCTAGGAGCGCAAAATTAATGTAAAAATACCGGGTGCTTACTATAACCGAAGCTTGGACTCGTACTAACGTGGTACAGTTCACTTTACGTTAATATCATCGATCTCACATAAACAACTAGATTCACAATCACTAAATTAATCGAAGCATCCGCACGGCTCATAGTTATTGCACAATTCATTATTCAAAACCAAATACTTATTGCGGTGTGCGAGCGCGGAAAGTCCGAGCAACGACACCGGGCAGCTTAGTTATATCATACCGAGCGCTGTGTATCTAGTTTTCTACATGACACCAACGGTTAAATAGAGTAAGTTAATTCGTTCGGACACTAAATATCAATAATTACACAAGCTATCTACATTAGCCACCGCCAGCGCCGGCCGCGGCCGGTTGTTGCGTGTTGGAGACCATTTCTCGGGAATGATTCGTAATGATTGTGATTAGTTTTCCAGCAATATGCTTCTCTTGACTTCGGCTCCGATATTAACTGGACTTTCTGTGGAAGAGAAAAATATTTATTGAAGTTTAAAAGTCAATAAAGAGGATAGAGGAGATAGGATGCGGGGTTTAGGCTGTCAAGTGAAATGGTTTTATTGCACTCTGTCGGAACCAAATGGTTGCCGTGTATGCAGTCAAAGGCGACTGAGGGCCAAAGTGGTCAGTATAGGAAAAATCATTAATTTGCCTCTGATAAATTAGTGTCGTCTATAATGGAGACTAAACGATCTGATGATGATGATCTATCTATCTCATATGGCAAAAGACAGGTCGTTCACCATAATCATATTAAACACCAATTGTCAGGAAATCCAATGTAACCAACAAAGCCGTCAGTCAGAAGCAGGAAAACCAGTGACCGACCAAGCCCGCAGAATTGCTAAAACTCAAGAGGCAGTGGACGGGGTACATAGCTCGTAGAGCTGATGTCCGTTGGAGCCGAAAATTTCTCGAGTGGCGATTTGTTGGACCGAAAATCTGGTGAAATCTGGTCGCAGTAAGTACCTAAATGCGAGCAGCACAGGACCGGTCGTTGTAGAAAGCCTTGGGGGTGGCGTTTGTCTAGCCCTGGACGTCATTTGGCTGAATCGAACAGCCAGTCAGAATAAGACTATGGTCTCGTATACGCTATACGCGGCGTACGACGTCTGCGTTAAACGTTCCTATCAACGTCCATAATGTCCGCACGCCGATGTCAACGTTTGAAGGAGACCACAACAGTACATTTCCATAGTAAGCACTGTGACGCGGCATACGCTGTGACGTTCTACGCAGTCTACAGCGTAAATAGGAGACCACAGTCTACGCAACGACAAGCTAATAATATGAAATGACGCGCGCATGCGTTTTGTGTTTTATTATTATTATAATTATTAACTGTAACCTTAAACCTATGACTGTGTGTTGAAATAAATGACTTATTATTATTATTATTTTCTAGTTTTTATTTTTTCTCCATCTTTTATAAATAAGTCTGGGTAATTAACCTATTACGCGGACCTCAGTCAAGCAAGATAGGATGTAAGACAGTAGTCGTAGAAGTAAGATAAGAATTTCCTAGTAATTCGGCAGGTGTTTAGGATAGTGGCTTTTTGTAGTTATTATTATTTGTGGCCGCGTCTGTCGCCGCGTTTTGTCGCCCAATGTGCATTATCGCTAAAGAAGCTTCCAGAAGCACACCTGTAAGGCCCTTTTCACATGTCCCGGTTGCCGGCTATCCGGCGCCGGGTACCCGGTGGTGAAGTGTATGGGCATGTCGGATTAATTACGCCGGTACATGTGAAAGCTACGTACCATGCCCATACACTTCACCACCGGGTACCCGGCAACCGGGACATGTGAAAAGGGCCTTACTGGCAGCACTGCTTGCGCACGCTGTCGGCCTGCGAGGGCCGCTGGTCGGCGGGCTCCACGTCGGGCCGGATCACGTCGCCCTCGGGCGGGTCGCGCATCTGCTTCTGCGACACGATCCTGTAGATCTCTGTGAACGAAACACGTTAAGTTTAAAAATCAAAATCAAAATCAAAAATATTTATTCAGTTTAGACCACAAGTGGCACTTATGAACGTCAATAGAAAATAATAAAAAAAGAAAAGGTAGCCCTTATGGGGCACTTTACATGTCTCCTTATCTTTTGGGCCCTACCAGCGCTTCGAGACAAGGTTTAGAGATTCAGGTTGTGACGTAATAAATTAATCAATCATACAACAATAAGGCCCGGTTTCAACCAAAGCAGAGATTAAAGGTGATTATTTAGAACTGAAGACTCTTATGAAAGAACATTTAGAGGAATTGGCCCCCAAGTTAGACACGGTCACCAAAGGCAGTGAAAACGTCACTGTGACCGCCCCAGCAAAATATGGTTTGAGAACTAAGTTGCCTGCGATAGAAATACCATCGTTCTCGGGTAATTACAATGAGTGGACTAAGCTTTTATGATTTAAGGATAGGTTCTGTTACCCAGTCGACGAAGCACATGATGTCGGACCCTGCGTGCCCAAACAACTGCACGCAGGAAGATTTAATGAAGGCTACTGAAAACGCCAATCTTGTGGGGGAGTTTTAGACTGGCTGTGTAGGTTTGTTGTCGACACGACAAGAAGAAGATTAAAGGATATACGTTTGATTAACCAATCAGATTTCCTTATTTCCACATCACATCTCCACTAAGCTTCGTTTCGGAAATCCTGATTGATTATTCAAATATCTCTCCTCTCCATTTTGGTGGCAACCGAGCCGAATCCACCAAAATACGAATTTAGAAAACAAACTCTCGGATGTCGGAAATCGGATCTAGTTCGTAAACTATCATACAAATAGTTCTACGATTATTCTGGCCCATATTTTTATGAATTCGGATAAGATGTAGTGTGAAATCGCTCTTCGACCTTCAAGGCAAGTCAACAGCCATCTGGGCAAGCTCGTTCTACCATATATCGCACCTGCACCCTTTCGGTGAGATTATTATCAAGATCTAGCCCTTGCTACATAAAAAGACTACTATCTTTATAAAACTTGCAGAACCTTTAATCAAATACGAGGATATAACATTGACCCAATTTACTAATTGGCACAGGACGATAAGGACGCCTCCGAACTATTAAATTTAAATGAATAACGAACGATGCGCTTATTTCATTGAACATACAACAAAATCATACTAAACTATGTGTACGCGCCAGCATTAAAACCTCATACATTTCAAACTCATGTCACACTATTCTATCACTCATTCTGACCCTTTTTCCTATCCTCTCCCTCCCACTTTCAGTCTCGCTCTCGCATCGCAACGCGCCGCTTCGCCTACCTATCTGGGCGTTAATTACTAAATAAGTATCCAAAATAAACCAATTCAAATAAACCCAAATCGCGCGCTAAACTCATCTCAATAAAATTCAAGTGTTTGTGAAAGTGAAAGAAGAACCAAGCTTGGACCGTCCTGTGGAATCTGCTCAATCGAAGGTATCCCATCCCATTCCTATCCCAATCTCCTACACTATGGGAAACGGTCATATGCAACAATCAATAAAAATTGCCGTTTCGTCAACCGAATCCATACAAGCTATTCAGAGTGAACAATGAAAAAACAGCGATACACACATGTATCCGAAGTTCCGAACCGAACGGTCCGAATACCGTTAGGCCATCACTTGAATAATAAACAGGCTAGCTCATAACCCACCTTGAACTTGATGGCAAAGGTGGATGACGTATGACGTACTAAACCGATCACATTTGATTTGAGGATATAACTTGATTAGAAATTGTTGATAGAAAACTGCCAAATATAATATTTTAGTATAAGTGCAGACATACAGCCTTGGCCAAAAGTATTGAGCACCCATGATATTTATTAATTTTGAAGGAATTATACATGTGTCTGAATCAAAACAGTTTTTAACAGTTTTATATTGTTTATTAACAACAAAAAATTAATACTTTGTTGGACCACCCTTTGCCTTAATTACTGCAGAAGTTATTTTTGGTAAAGATTGTACTAATTTATTACAATCGTCACATGTTAAAGCGTTCCACTCTTCCCGCAAGCGACGTTTTAGGTCTTCTTTTGTTTTTATTCAATGGCGCCGGACCTTGTCCTTCAATAGACCCCACAAATGCTCGATGGGGTTCAGGTCTGGTGACTGGGCAGACCATTCAAGCAGCTCGATGTTATTGTCACTAAACCAGCCATCGTTTGTGACAAGGTGCGTTATCCTGCTGGAATTTGACGCTTTCCATGTTGGTGTCACCAAAAAGTGTTGTAAACGAGGGCAGAAGTGCGGATTCAAGAACGTTTATGTACTTTGTAGAGTCCATGCGTCCTTCACACACAAACATTTCCCCAACTCCTGCGGCGCTCATGCACCCCCAGACCATCACACTGCCGCCGCCATGTTTGACGGTAGGTACCTTACACTCCGGGGTAAATTCTTCGTCTACTCGACGACGGACAAATGTCACACCAGGTGTGCCAACAATCGTAAAGTAACGAAATTTTGTTAAGTGTTTTTCGGTCCAATATTTATTTTTACAAATATAGTTTTATAATATTATTGTCGCGTATTGTTATTACATGATATTGGCTAACTTACCTCAAAGTTTGATTCATCTGACCACACAATATTTTTCTAATCTTCCTCGGTAAAAGTTTGGTATTTTAAAGCCTACTCGTAACGAGCTGTTTTGGTCTTTACTGAGAGCCATGGCTTCTTTCTGGCTGTATAGCCCTTAAGCCCAGCTTCTTGGAGTCTTCTGCGAGTTGTTCTTGCAGAAATCGGCGTATTAATTTCAGCTGATAACTCAGCAGCGAGGTCGGAAGAAGATTTTTTATGATTTTTCAAAGACTAACAATACTACAGTATCATAGCTAAACATCTCGAAACGTGTTTTATTGCACGTTGTGCCGTGAGTTTATGTTTCAAAACCTGTCAAAGAAAGGTTTTTATCAAATATCTTTGAGTATCTTTTATAGTTATCACGTATAAGCAGTATTTAGGGGGTGCTCAATACTTTTGGCCAAGGCTGTAGTATATTGTGGGAAATAGCATGTGCAATTTACAAAACTCTCGTTGCACAGATCAGGTAAGCTACCTTGAAAACTATCAGCTAATCTGTATTGCATTTATAACATTAAGAGTAGGCGCACACCGGTTGATTTTTAGTTGGCCTATAGTTGTGCCCGATTTTAATTTGTATGAAGAATCGGCCAAATCGAATCGGCGTAGTGTGCGCACTCCCATACATGCCCATACTGATCAACTGCCCGACTAAACTATCGGCCGACGAAAAATCAACGGTGTGCGCCTACTCTAAAACAAAGTCAGAAACAAGTGAAGGATCTATTTTCCTGGACCTACAAGTGACTAACGTTAATGCTACGCTTACGTTAAAATAAACGCTTATTTATTGAACATCCTCTTTAATAGATCAAACAGTGAAACTAAAAATAGGTTCTAATTTGTCCCTATCAAAGACATAGCCCATTACAGTACCGGCCATACTAGGAGAGTTAACGACCTGCCTTGAACTTTAAAGGGGCATTAGGAATGATTACAGTGTATGGGCCGGACATCCACACGTATTGAGGACACTGTCCTTAAAATAGAACCGATGCTCTATGGGTTAAATCTACGGAAGGTATTCCAACTTCCTTATACATTCAAACTATAAACTGTGAATTCGTATGCTAGCTGTTATGATAACAAATGAACACTAAAAACTTCTAATATAACTAAAATATTAAAGTAAATATGTTACGTTAGGATATTCAGTAATTAATTAGTAATAATTATTGATTTCGAAAATAGTTCGTTAATAATTTTGAAATGTTTATTTTATAAAATAAGACTGACATAATCTGCGCATATCCGCGAGAAAAAAGTTGTTTTTTTTATTTGTAAAAAAAAGGTAAATAAATCGCTTCATATCTTGCTATAATTGCAAACACTACCACATATCAAACTTCTGACGCGATTAGTAATGACATAAAGACCGCGTAGCGTGGGCCTCAAAACAACAAGCCACCGCCACCGCGAACCTATCCGTACCATATATGGGACTGTCCATTAATATCAAAGATACAAGGATAAAATATTTATGCTTTTTAACACTCTACACTACTCCCCCGTGTGTGCTTTGTCAAAGATACGACTATCGCATCAGACAAAAGTTAACGCCCCAAAATACAGCGGTTATTGACTGCGACGTCATTAGCGTTATCTACTGGTTTATTTTTATTAATAATGGTAAGATGCGTAGTAGGTCAGTCATATATTACGCAGAAACTTAAATTATACGATCAATCTTTACATACGATCAAGTCTGTGAAATTAAAAGTATTTATAAATTAAACTACGACCTTGTTTAGAAGGACTTAAAAGTCTAAAAAGCTTGTCATTTATTTATTGAAAAAGATAGGTACACCAACGACATATAACTTAAAGCTGAATAAAATCAAATGTATTAGAATAGATTTATTATTATTTTAAAATACTTTTAGGCTAGGTATATTACATATTGTATGAATAGGGAATTCTTTAACCAATCAACCCAGTTAGCAATAAATTCGTCGGAACAATTGGCTTCGATTGGATTTGACTGCTATTACATTCGGACACGGAAGTAATAGAATATTTATGATGAACACAAGACTGAATGGAATTCAATTATTTAGAATAACATCGGTTTTCATGTCTACAATTTGTAAAATATTGTTCGCGTCATTTGTTATCTTGTCCATGAGTTAAATCATTGATAAGTCGGTTACAACACCAACAAGTTATCAGTGTAAGATTTTTTAAGAGTGAATGATGTTGGCCTATATTATTCGAAATGTGATGCTAAAAGTTTATACGACCTAGCAATATATCCATTATTTTAATAAACAGTATAAAGTGCAAGCAAACACCTTAATTGTACCTAGTATCAGGCCTGTTTCATCTCCGCGAGTTTACATCGAAAACAAAACACGCACGATGGCCCACCTACAGGATACTATTCGACAAGGCCTCACATACGAGCGAACATTGACTCACGCACGCGTGTTCTTGTGTATGATGGAAGAAAATAAAGAAAATGGTGTACTAAATACAGTGCAGTATTTAACTCACTAAATAATAATAAAAACACAAAATGTACTTTTTTAAGTTGCCTCAAGACACTGCGAGGACACACCTCACGTCACATCATTTTACCGAAGTCAGCCCTATAGCTTCGGCGCAGTGCCGATCACTGACGTTTGTCAACAAAATGGTGCTTGACTCTTGAGACAGGCTAAATTACACCATATTGTTAATGACATTGAGCATACATTTTTTTAAATACCTTCGCGAAGTAAAACTTCTGTACGTAGTACTTATTATTATTCTGTGCTAGTATCATAAAGTTATTTTGAGGTTTTGTGATGTATGATTGATCTGTAAAGTTCTTCAAATTCTGTATTGTTTCATTTTATGCTATAGTTTGAAACGCCGAGGTCGATTCCTATTCTACCATTAGATGAACGCAGATTCAGATGTGAAGTACCACTATATTAGAATCACTACCTCGATAGCGATCGGCGAATGAGGCAACCAGATTGTTTATCTGCCCTGACCTACTCTAAAATGCTAGGAAGGTTAAAAAAGGTTCTTTACCAGTGAGAATATTCTGGAAAGCGGGCTCCACGTTGGTTGAGTCGAGAGCGGACGTCTCAATAAAACTAAGGCCGTTTCTTTCCGCGAACGCCTTGGCCTCTTCTGTTGGGATGGATCTGGAAAAATAGAAATTCACAATTTAGCTTTTTTTTTAATTAAGTCCCGTTAACCCCTCGTGGTAGGTTCAATAATTAATATGCTTGGGTTATGAGTGGTTTTACCACAATAGTTGAGCGGTGCCGAGGATCGAACCTGCGTTCATCCTAACGATCACGAGTCGACCAATCTGACACTTTTCTTACCTTTAGATTTTTAATGCTAAAATATACCTAAAATATGTTTTTCTGTCTGTATTACATGAGGCTTGAAACTGGTCGAGTTTAAAGCTGGATTTATATTGATCTAACGTGCTGTGGTGGTGACGCATCAGAACGGAATCGGTTCATACATTTAGTGTGCGACACGTCAGAAACCATAACAACACGATACAACACGTCATACAAATATAAATCCGGCTTAGCTATCGCTCGCCCGCAAACAAAAATACCCCTTACTTTCTTAGATATTCAGTCTAATTAATATCAGGGGTGACATTTTGGAATACTGACCTTAGTTCGGCTCGGCCATGACATTGAGTAAAACAGGGTCTTGGAGCAGTCATTGTAGCATCAAAATAGAACGAAGCTATTGAACAAGGTTAAACACAACTCTAGTGCCACTATATGCGCCACATCTAAGTCAATAACGATTGTTCGTTATTAGTGGAAGAGAACGTAGCCGCGTAGTATAAAAACAGATGTCTATGAAAAACATCTGCAACCTGTTAATATGTAATTACGCAAACTTGAAATAGTTCTGTTTAGACTCCAGATTATAATCGGCGTCTTTTTTTAAGCCTTTAATGGTGCCCGCTGAGTCCTGGCGATAGTCTCGTGGTACCTACTGCACATGCAAATTATAATAATCTACAAAATACTATTAAGTAAACATAATATCTAGATGCGGGCAGCGCAGGACCGTTCTTGTGGAAAACCTTGGGGGAGGCCTTTGTCCAGTAGTGGACGTCATTTGGCTGAAACGAACGAACGAAACATATCCAGGCCAATGTGTCAGCTTTAAAGTAACATAAGAGTAAATATTTCTTCAGATCTAACACAATATCTTTGAATACATAAGACATCTACTTTGAATTTTATATTCCACCTTTTGCAAGAATCATCAGAATTTAAAGTTGGTCTACATTTGATTTTCATATTGGTTACAGATTGCACAAGCAGACAATGTTTACTAAATTTTTATCAAACTTCAACCAACTAATCTGTAACCAAACATGTGCCTGAAAGTAATGAAAGATCACTATTATCATTTGCCTATCTCATGTTATTTTTATCAATGGTGTACTCTACCATCATAGTAAAAGTTAAACAGTAAGCATTTTATTTCCAAAAATAATCAACTTATAAGTACTCCAAATTAAAAACATACATAGTTCATTCCATTTAAAAAGGAAAATATTTATATTGAAATTATAATTACTTGTAGATATGTAAATTACTTTATTATCTTGCCTTACACAAGTATGTCGGCATCAGATAATAGCAATCTTGATATCGAAGGACCATTGGAAAATGTTCTTATCACACCAGACAATAATATTGAACTGACATGGAGTCGAATCTTAGACTCTTGGAGTCGAGGCGAGACGAATCGTGCGGCAGCGCACATTAGTCGTCAATTTATGGTGGTGTCAAGTACCCTGTTTAGGTAAACCTATTTTTTTTCATTTTTAGTCAGGAAAATGCATACCCACCAGAGTGAGTTATGCGAGGCTCTCCATGATGGGCAGGGCTATTAATTAAAAACTTGATAGTTAGTCGGGATCGCGGGACATCAGTACATCACAATGAGGGCTATCGTTTTAGCGCTCACCAGTTAGCGCCACTGTAGAGTAAGGTCCTGTCACTTGCTAGTAGCGAAGACAGTGGCGCCAACTTGTGAGCGCTAAAGTGGTAGGAGGACTATCGTATTTGCACTCATCAAGATGGCGCCACTGTAGAGTAAGGTCCTGTCAATCGCCAGGGGTGCCAACTGTTAAGTATAAAAACGAATGCCCTCATTGGCGTGGCGGTTGAATTAACTTTCGCGTTCTCCGCGGATCATCAGTAGAAGCCGTCATACCGCTTTCGGCCTCTTAAGACCGTCTCTAGTTGACAAAGAGCATCTAGCGCGCCACGGTTTATCAGAACATTGCGTTCTGGCTTCTGCCTTCTGTTCGGCAGAAAGAAACTAACGAATCTTGCCACATTCGACAAGACATTCTGTAGCTGTAGCTAAATTACCTGAGATGCCTGAGATCGCTCTTGTTGCCGACGAGCATGATGAGAATGTTCTGGTCGGCGTGATCGCGCAGCTCGCGCAGCCATCGCTCCGCGTTCTCGTAGGACAGGTGCTTCGCGATATCGTACACTAGGAACACTCCGTAAGCGCCGCGATACCAGAACGTTGCGTTATGGCTTCTAATGAGCGCGATGACGCAGAAATAAACAAACGAATGTTGCAACATTAGAGATCTTACAATGACTATTACCTGAGATGCCTGAGATCGCTCTTGTTGCCGACGAGCATGATGAGAATGTTCTGGTCGGCGTGATCACGCAGCTCGCGCAGCCATCGCTCCACGTTCTCATAGGACAGGTGCTTCGCGATATCGTACACGAGCAGCGCACCGACCGCGCCGCGATAGTACGCCGACGTGATCGCGCGGTACCGCTCCTGGCCGGCCGTGTCCCATATCTGGGCCTTTATGGCCTATATCGTACACTAGGAACGCTCCGTAAGCGCCGCGATACCAGAACGTTGCGCTTCTGATGAGCGCGATGACGCAGAAATAAGCAAACGAATGTTGCCACATTCGTCAAGACATTCTGTAGCTATAGCTGTTATTACCTGAGATGCCTGAGATCGCTCTTGTTGCCGACGAGCATGATGAGAATGTTCTGGTCGGCGTGATCGCGCAGCTCGCGCAGCCATCGCTCCACGTTCTCGTAGGACAGGTGCTTCGCAATATCATACACGAGCAGCGCACCGACCGCGCCGCGATAGTACGCCGACGTGATCGCGCGGTACCGCTCCTGGCCGGCCGTGTCCCATATCTGGGCCTTTATGGTTTTGCCGTCGACCTGGAATGCGAGTGGAACGTCAATGGCTGGTGTGAGATCATTTTTATGGGGCAGGAGCCAAACAAGTAATTTCAATTTCAATGAGGTCTTATTCAACAAATCCATCATAATAGTAGGTTGGACATTTTGAGAATTGGACGTTACGGGAATTGGACGTTTTGGGAATGGGACATTTCAGGAATTGCACATTTTGGGAATTGCACATTTTGGGAATTGGGCATTCCGGGAATTGAAAATTTTGAAATTGTTGGACATTTTGGGAATTGGACATTCTGAACCTGAAGGAATTTGAAGTCACTGGATAGACAACTGCACACCTAGCTAAACACTGTAGAATCTTACAACATGTGCCTACAATTTTTCTTCAAAAATATTTAGTCTAACTGTATAATTAGATGATGATTTAATTTAAATAATTTGGGCTAACTCTTGGGTCTTTCTGGCTAAATTAAACACAGTATGTTATTGAGAAATCAATAGTTCAACAATTGTTTCCTCAATAACATACTGTATCCAGACAAAAACTTTCAGTAATTTATGATCTAATTAATTAAATATAAGCAGATTTACAGTTTCCAGTAACACAAATTGGTTAGGTAATATACATCAGTAATAACTGAATTACCAGATTACTACACAATTAATCACGCATTAAAATTAATGTGTGTATAATGTTATCAATGAAATTAACCTTTGATGAGTTCCCAAAACATTCTCAAATTAATAAAAATAAGTGACAATTAGTAGCAATGTTACAATAGATTTGTGTTATTAATTTTTTATCACCTCACCAATTGTTCCTTAGCCAGAAACAAGAACAAGTATTATTTTCCCAATGATAAGTGCCTTAGATGCCAAATACTGGTCGTTATAATAATATGACATCATCTATTAAACTTTTATCTTTTAACCCGGCGTCAATGACGCTGGGTCATATTGACCCGAGGCATTTTCAAACGTTCATAATTTTTTTTTGCGTCCATTTTGTGGTTCAAGCGTCCGTATAGCTGGAGATAGAACCTCCCTAAATCCATTCCGTTAGTTAACGTATTGTGACTCCGCTTGCGTAGCGAGATACACAGGCTTCAAATTAAAACGGGTCATTATGACCCGGCGTCATCGGTGGCGCGGTGATTTTGTGACTTACTTTTATTCGCTTATTTTGTGTTTAGTGCTAGCTTATGTTGTTCTTTTTTAAGTTTTAGTCAAAATGTCTTTGTTAAATGACCCAGCAAGAATGTAGCGTTACTGGAAGAGTCGGATTCCGAGATTGAAGAATTTCAGGCTGTAATAGCCACAACTTAGAAATGGCCAGGAATGTGAAAAAGACGCAAGTAATGGGGACTCAGTCTTCGGATAATCTCGAACTTGCATTAGTACAACGCCGGCAAGTGCGTCATGCCACATTAACATGCCCAGACCATTTGATTACATACTGCACCAGTTGCAGCAGTTCCATGGCTCTGAATGATGAAGTAGAAGACTGATCTCATTGTATCTGCATATAAAAAGTTGATTTTATCTCTTTTTTACTATATAACATTGTTGATTCCTATTAATACTAAAAATCTTTACCAAAAACAGAAAATATAGACTTAAATGTGTTTATAAACATGATTTTTTCATGTTTTGTTTAAAAAGTCATAAAAAAATATTTATTTCATGTATTCGTTTTATTTTTGTTTTATTAGCTCAGTAAAGAACCCTATATACATAGACAGTAATTAAAATTAAGATTACTTGTACAATTTCCTGAAAAATGATCGATGTAATGTGGGTCAATATGACCCGGGGTCATCGTCTTTGCAATTATTTTCACGTCATTGGCGCCGGGTTAAACATTTCCTACTGTTTATGACTCAAAATAACCTAACTATGGTGATAAGAATTAAATACCTGCATACATCCTTAACCTTTAACTGGTGACATGGTTTTTGTGTAACGTAACTGGTGACGTGCGGTCTGAGAGGCCGCTACCGTATCAAGACTGTAGCATAGAAACTAGATAAGGTAGCATACCACAATCTTTAAAAACAGATTATTAGCATATAGAAGAATTAAATTTAAATAAAATAATAAACTCTAAATACAATTTTTAATGCAGAACTTGCTGTTAAATTATATGTAGTAATAAAAATAAAAAAACTAGAGATGAGATCGATAATCGCAAATAAGAAATTTAAATCAACAAATTATAACAAACTTAGTATTTTTTATTATAGTTCCAATGATAATCAATTTAAAAATACCTATCACACATAGGTAACCTATAATTTTAGAAAACTGGAATTGGTGAAACTTTTGTATTTTTTATTGGCTGTCAGGACATTTATTGTTTGGCATAAGAGTGGACCGTCATTTTCACTTTCTGACTGATTCTCGTCAATTGGTCCTTCATCTTCAAAAACACTTTATTCGGCTTCCGAATCATGGTCACTTTTGCTCCAGAACGATGTTTTCAGGAACATATTCGGCTTTCGACCCAATTGAGTCTTCCTTTTCCGGATATTTTTCAACTGGCGAATTTTCAAGTCGTTTCATAAAGTATGGCACTATATTCCCAACTAATGATCCTACGCTTCTTTTTTGGAGTTATTTAAGTATCAATTTCAAGTAAAAACTGTAAAAATACGAAAAAACTGTATGAAAAAAATGTCACGTAACTGGTGACATGCGGTCTGAGAGACCGCTGCTGAACTTTGCATCGATGTAACTTGCCGATTTGGAGCTGAATGATGCAAATATCCTTATCTACGGCGTAGACACAACTAAACTTGAAGCTACTGAAGCGGTGAAACATTGGAAGTACGGGGAAGGGGGTGAAACGATGTTTCACTGACGCCGCCCGGCCTGTGAGACCGCTTGTCACCAGTTAAAGGTTAACAATAAACTGGAATACAGGAAATTTATAGTCATGTCCTGTTTAAGGCTAATATGTGTTACATTCAATTGACCTTAATTGATTTGGCATATCTGACGGGTCCACAGGCATGAGCATAACTGAATTATGTCATAAGAATACCCTCTTGTCAGATATGGACACATTTCCAAATTATGAATAAAGGTTTCTGCCAAATAATGCAGTAAAAAAGTATCAATGACTCAAGTATTTCTGGCAAATTTTTAACTCTGCCTAATTAGTAATTACACAGTATGCTCTCTTAGTTAAAAGCTGTAAATACACAAAAGTAACAGTATTCTATTACCTATAAATATTTACAACACAAGGGAATCCTTACTCTCAACCTCATCTGCATTTTTAATCATTCACAACCATATTAGTGAAAGTAGTGCAAATTGCACAACATGTGAGCAGCAGCTGGTTACAATTCATGAGCTTGAATTAAGTTTGTTATAATGAAATTAAACTGAAATATTACTAACATTGTATGAATATTTCATAAAAAAATACTGTTACAAAACAATTTCAATGTTACTGGGAACTGTTAAGTAGGTAAACCAAAACAAAGCACTTCTAAGCAAAAGAAAAACAAGCTTAACTTGTTATCAACCTGCTGCTAGGAAACAAAGAAACATACCTCTATACTTCTTGTAGCAAATTCCACTCCTATTGTGGATTTTGACTCTAAGTTAAATTCATTTCTAGTGAACCGAGATAGGAGACTACTTTTACCGACTCCCGAATCACCTATTAGCACAACTGAAACAAAGAATTAAACCAACATTGAAAAACATCGAAAAATACACTTGTTTATAACAAGGTACTGCTTTTGTTAATTTATACAGGGTGATATCCGGATGGAGAGTCATCATCGGTGATTATATCACGCAGATCAGTTAGAAGGTGACTCATGAACTACAAAATTTACGCGAAATCGATAGTCACTACACCAATCAGCTGATGAAACAACAAAGTTCGAAACTACTTTAAAGCCTTTCCAAATCGTTGGCTAGTAATTCAAATCTTACTCGTCATGTTTACGACTAATTGTAATACAAAACAAAGGAGAAAATCGTAACATAGTTTTTTCTACGTCATTGAAAGCCGAAACAATGGCTCGAAAGAAAGTTGTAATGAATCGAATTCTTATTATTACGGTTGTGAAAATATAGGAAACGCTTCTAGGCGGAATTACCTTTGAACAAATAGTCGTATTCGTCCTCTCTTGTGCCCATTTTGATTATCTAGAGTTCTTTATTCGACGTCAAATTCGTTCAGATAAAAACGTCAAGATGAACGTAAACAAAAATAAATGTAGACACAAATATCACAGGCTATTGAAACACTACACAGCTTCACTAAAACCACTTTTGCAGTGGGATTTTTCAGATTTAAACGGGTAACAAACTATTAAAATCTTAATTTCATAAAATGTCATAGGGACAAAATGGCGGATTGTTTTACGCCCCTCTTAGAACGTTCCAATACCTGAAATACCAAATAGGGTCTAGTTTAAAATTTAATTAATTTTAGTAACAGTATAGTCATTTTAATGTTAAAAATAAGTCACAACTAACAAAGTTACATTAAAAATGATTTTTTAAATTGTATTAATTAGCAGTTTAAAGCATTTTCTCACTAGAGTTAAGTGGAATGAGAAAAAATATTTTGTAGGTTTTGGAACGTTCTTTCATAAATGTCGTTGACACAAATGACGTTTTGTGTTTAGAGATGCGTTCATAATATTTTAAATTTTATTAGACAATAATTGATACATTCATAAAATTCTAATTATAATAGAGCGCATGAATATACGCTTTTCTGTCTCACTTTTATTTTAAAACTAGCAATCTGCCCCGGGTTCGTACGTGTGAAATATATTTTGCATTTGAAACTATCTCTTAAATCACATCAATCTTTTGATGAAAACTGCGGTAAAAAGCCAGCAAGAGCGACTTACGGTTTTCCGATAAATATGCGAACATGTAAAGCTAGGTACTGTGTAAATTCTAAATAATAAGTCTAATAAAAATAATTCAGAAATTCTTGTTAATTTTTCGTAAAATTCTCGCTTAAATTTTTTCACCATACAAAAAGACGAGCTTGAATAGTTTTTGAATAAAAAGCAACAGTTTCTAAAACATTATATTACTCTAACTATACACAAGTTATTCTAGACTAGGCTGTAGCGGCGGCTGCTTCGCCTTCGTCGTCGCTTTCCTCCTGCACTTCTTTCGAGAGTGTTCTGTCGACGAACACAAACGGATCGATCTTCAGCCTCTGAGTGGCGGGTGGGCTCACGATGAAGCACCTATAAGAATAATAAGAATAAGAATAAATTTATTACTGTATAAAAACTTAGCCTAAACACGTACAAGTTTGGTTTCGATAAAATTAAGGTTAGTGTGCGTAAGTAATTAATGATACCTAAACTAAGCAAAATTTATTGCCTGTGTCTTAGTATCTGTTTAAAAAGTGCTGACTATACAATATTGGAATAGATTATCAAACTCAGAAAAAGTAGGTTACATTTACTGCTATACTTAACTACTTACTTACTAAGCATTATTTTTACATTGACCTACTCTTAAAATAAATAATTATTACAATTGAAATAGTTTCTGTGTGTAAACAAATAATACGATCGCGAGTCACATAACTAAATATTCCTAAAAGTGTAATTGCACATCTTTGAACAAAATAATAATAGTATTAGAACAAAAACGGGTTAATTATAGTAAATAAGAAGATGACAATACAAGCTGTGCCGGAGACGAAGATGGCATACAAGCTAATACATAAATATAAATAAATAAACACAAAATGGAATTTGACTTCAAAGCTCCATTGTTAGTCCAATCAACGAGGAGANCACCATGTGCCAAGTTTCATTGACGGACGAATTATTCGGGTTACAAACGCCTCGTTGATTGGACTATGTCTTTAACAAAGGACTCTGCTCTTCTTCCGCCACTTCTCAGCACGTGTATAAGCGCAATGGAAAGGGCCTAAGTAAGTACAGAATAACTTTGACTTTGACTCTATGCAACAGACAGTATGTGAAAATCATCGCCTAATAACGGCACGAATGCCGGAGCATAGCCTGCCTTTTTTGCGGATTTTTTTCTTTGTTTTATTAACCTTTATCTTTGGATTTACCTTGTGATGAAAAGTCCGTCTCGCTTTGGTCGACCCGCCTGCATATCTTTTAGTAAAGCGTTTACGTTTTCAGCTACTTGCTTAGGGTCCATGTTCACCTGTAAACATAGCAAAACATTATTTTAGTTCAAATTTGATTTATAGTGACGCGCATTTCCTGTACGAATCTAGAGGCTAGGAAACTGAATTCCTTAATAAAAAAAAATATTTCGTAGCATCAACATCAAAATGATAGACACAAAAAAATATCAAAATTAGAACGCACCCTTCCCACTGGAACTTCAACGGAGCCGAAATTCTCTTGGTTTTCATCCTTCACCACCTTGTATTGGAGTCCCGACGCGAATTTCTTCACCAGGTCCTTGAGGTTGGCGTCCAAGGTGCCTGTTCGGACGTTGGGGAAGCGCCTTTTCATCAGCCCTCTGATTGGCACCAGGTCTGTGAGGATGTTTGGATGGGCGACCACGTAGTCGTAGTCGCTTAGTTTTATTTCGCCTTCCTGGAAAAAGTTTAATTAATTTTCATCTTTTCCATTGCTTGTGTAATAAGTACTGAAGTCACAAGTCATGCGTCCACCGTAGACGTGGCTTAATCCTAAGTAAGGCAATCTGTTTCTTTTATTCTTCTCTAAAAAGTCAACAGACTGCATTCTATACAAAGCACACAGGTAGCTGTAGCAACTTCGGCTTGGCTAGCAGTAGTTTAGCCTGGAAGGAACAAGGAGTTAGCAATAGCGCACACTGGGCGACAAATCACGGCGATAGACGCGACCAGTAGGCCTAAGATGCGCGCCGTGACAACTTTTATCAACGTCAAAATCTATGGGCAAAATCGATAAAATGGCGTGATAACCGCTTATCGCGGCGCGCATCTTAGGCATACACGAAACGCTAGACGTCCAGTGTGCACTGTCGCTTAGATATAACGCATGTAGACGAAACGGGACTGTTCCCACCGCTGCAACTCCTGTGTAGCTAGGATCTACAGCTTGGCCGCCACAAAAACCCGACCAATGAAGGTCAAGTTTGTGCCAGGGGAAAGTTAAACTGTCATTGGATCCGCAACGAAATTAATCAGAAGAACCTATGTCCTAGGTTCCTTCGAACTCATAGGAGTTCGAAGTTAAGGTTCGACTTCCCTCCATGCACATGTAGACTGTTGAGGTACCCACCTGAATCTTCTTAACCAGCTCAGTACTGCCGGCCGTAGTGGCGCCAGCGTCTAACGCCTCCTTGATGATCTCCTGTCCTTTGCAGAAGGCCAGGATGGTGCGCTCCTCGTCCCGCGGGAACGCGTGCGGCAGCAGGCTGAGACGAGTGTAGCTGTCTATGTAACGGTTCTGGAAACAGTTACAGGTTGGGAATTACATGGAAGCTCTTGGCCTGGCTGGCTCACTAATCACGAAATCTCAAAAACTACAAGTGCCAGGAGTCTCAAATTTTGCATGGGGGTTCTTTTTAGAACGTAGGTGCTCACTAAGACGCAATATTGCAAAATTCAATCCCTAATTGTTCGCAAGTTAATCCCTGTATCTATCTCATTCAAATTGTTTACAAAGAGTGTCATTACAGAGTCTAACATCCATGAGGTTGTATAAATAAATATTAATTGTTATCAGAGAAAACAATATTAGTAAAAATATACCTTTTTCACGCCTTCCATGTTGAATTCAACCTGAGCATAAATGAGGGCATCGGGCTGGTTGTACATGGTAGGGTGGTGACTCTCCTGGTGAGCTTTCACGGCCTCCTCGACTGTGTACACAACCCACTGGTAATACCTCATTGGGTAAACGTCATCTTCAGATTTAGGCTTGCAGGTGTCGTCCAGATGCTTGTTTATTTTTTGTGCTATTTGCCTATGATCAAAGTTTTGTTTAAAAGATTTGTTAGTTCTTAAATTATTAAATAATTTACAACTTATTTAACCCAATTAAAAAAACTAGGAATATGACTGAGAGGCAAAGGTATAAAAACAAAATAATTATAGATTACAAACATGAATCAAAACTGAATCACCTCACCTGTAGTTGTTTGTTTACGATTAACACTGTTAATTATTCTGTGATATTGAAGGACACAGTTTTAGTGACCTATCAATAGTCTGCTCACAATAACATATTAAGTTCATTGTCATCAATAAAAAGAGAAAGAATTCACAAGCTCTGTGGATACTCACTTATCCTTGCCCCGCTGATTGTATGGGATGAATCCCACTTTGGTCACCTCCACTTTAACCTTCTTTGCACGGGCCTTAGCCCTGGTACCTTTACGTGCTGCATAGTACACTGGTGCACTGTGTATACTCCTCTAAAATACAATGTTTTGATTCTGATTATTTTAGACTCTGAACATGATATCGCATGATAAATAAAAAATCACTCATGCACTTTGGGTAAAACAGGAAATTTAAGTCAATAAACTTACCAAATTAACTGTATTTGAAGATTTACAAACAGAAAAGACATTGTTGAGCACCGACCCTAAAATAAAGTCAATTTTTTAAGTTAAAAATGTTAGTGATAATGATAAAAATTATAATTAATAGGTGCTTGCTTACGGAAAATCGTTCCAGCCATATCTTTAATTGGCTCTTGTTAATAATAAGTCACAATTTATTATTTATTTTATAAAATTCAATTTCAATATTTTCAATTTAGGTTAACCATAAACAACACTTATTTGACATAATATTTTTTTCTTTTACGACATCATTCACGGATCCACTCGGATCTTGGGCCTCGATTCTTAGCGGCCACTGGCCTCAATGGCATTAGAGAATTAAACTCTAGCCATCTCTTTCAGCTAAACTAACTATGTCGTATGAATGAAAGAGACAAAGTATTTCAGAGGTCGCAAATAGAAATGGTTTTTTTTTGTACAACTTCCACAAGCAGCTCACTCACTCAACGTCATTCAATCACCTCCATGTTCAATCTACTCACTCACTCACTCACTGTCAAAAAAGCAAAACTCAAAACAAAGTGCGGACCGTTTTTGGTAATTTTCATAATTTTTTATGAAAAGTATTACGGAATAACTTTATCTCTTCAAGAAATGATAAAATAATCGTATAGTTATTTATCCAATAAAAAATGGAGAGGATTAACGGCGGTTTGTTACTAATATCGCTGTGTGCATTGCTTTGGGGTGTGGCCGGCCAATATGAATGGCAAATACGGGATGCTTTCGACGAAATTCGAGGGAAAATGGACAAAGTTACTGCAGATAACTGTTACATCACACACCTGGACGACCTGTACCTGCCAGAAGACTCGGTATCCCATCATCCGGATGTAAAAGAGATAAATATCAACCCAG